GTACCAAACTCATGGAAACCAGATATTTTTCATTCATTCAGTTGTTTACAATATCATAAAAAATAGCTGTCCTAAAAGTTGTTTCCCACTTCGGTTCAACTCTCTTCATTTTTTACTCTATTAATACCTATTTTTGAGACACATACAAAAGCCTCCCTTTGTGAAATAAGTCTTAGCTAGCTACACCTCAGGCTACAGAGTTGAGAAATACAGGGATTGTTATTAATGCTGCATTTTGAATCGAAGCCTCTGTAAAGCAGGTGATACATTATTTTCTGTTGTGCAGATCTCCCATGTGCTGTTTGACCTAAAAAAGGGAATCTCTCACAGGGCTATAAATAATGCATCATAGTCATTAAATATTGATTTGGCTTATACCATTCACAGCTGCATAATTAGGTTAGCTTTTTAAAAATAGCTTCTTGTATATTACCCATAATAGGACAGTGTTTACATATTCTCTTTGGAAACTATATTAAATTTAAAAGTGATTTGTGTTTGTGAGACTGCTTGCTGTCTAAGTCACAGGACTTGTTCATTTCTGTCTCAGAAGGCAGTAACTCCTGCTATAAATATCCCACCCTGGACACAACTCTGCATTCGTTACTCACGTATCTTGGCTTTCTATATTTGTCTAAAAGGTGACTATTTTTAGGCTCAGAGAGCCTGCATTTCAATGAGAAGAAACCTGGCACTGAAGAACAATGCTATAGGATATCATCAATCTTAGATTAATCAGACTTCATTAATCTTAGATTTTCTATTCCAATATTACAAGTGCTTTTTATTTAAACACTAGAACGTAATGAAAATAACATATTTTTTGAAGTTTAAAATATAAGAGGATCTTCAGTTTTCACAGATTTTAAAATTATACATATATCTAACTTCTCAAAGAATAAAAAGTAATGTTGATATGGTTATGATTCACTGGTGTTTTACTTGAATTTATTCCACCAAAATTCATTTTGAATTTAGCGCCATTATGCTGATAGTAATGATGAGGCATATAGTTATAAATCAGGCTTACGACTTCAGTCAGTCATTCTCAGGTGTGCAGTGTGCCCAAAAGTACTGCCTCCTATTTTATTTTGTTGACCCACAACATCAGAGGCAGGTGTGGGGGTTCTGGAAGTAGAGGTTGAACCTTCCTATTAATTATTATTATTGTTTTGTTGCCTAGGAACAGATGGCAGCAGGACAGACTGACAAAATGGTGTCTGACATGGAAACATGGATGCAGTAAAGGTGTGTCACTGAACTCCTCCATGCAGAACAATGGCACCCACTGACCTTCATCAATACTTGCTGAACGTCTATGGAGACCAAACAGTGGATGTGAGTACAGAGAGGTGGTGGGTGGTGCATTTCAGTGGTAGCAACAGTGGGTCACCTCTGCTGGTGCAGATTTTTCCAAGCACAGCGTGCAGGTTCTTGTTCATCTCTGGTGAAAACACATAGCTAATGGTGGTGACTATTGAAAAATAGTGATTTGCATCTAAGAATTTGCTCTATCAAATAGTGTTCTTGTGCTCTTTGTATCTGTTGTAGTTTCCATGGAGATAAATAGGAGGCATTACTTCTGCAGCAGCCTACATACATTTTAACTTCTTTTAATTCATACAGCTCAAAATGCACATCCTCTTTCGTATAACCTGGTAGTACAGTGCATATCCCACATACAGGTCTAACGGTAGCCATGCTGCAATTAATTCTGATTAATAATTAATTCTGATTCAATAGGTTGTTTTTAAACTCTATCAATTAAGTTTTTCATGTTTTTTTGTCATTTAAAAAACTATTTTCAGGAAAACGCACCGATTTTATCTTGTATATCTACTCAAAGTTTTATTTAAAATTCATTTTAAGTGGGCATGAAAAAAAGGACTGAAGCTTAACTTGTTTTGCCAGAGACCTTGTTCTATCAGAAGACACAGTGCAAAAGACTGACTGTCATGAATAAATGGATAGAGAGTGGGAAGATCACTATGCAGCTTTACAGATGCCAAACTTAGCTGAAAGCAGCAATATCTTCAGTCTGCTGAAATCAATAACAAACTTCCCTAGGGTCAGACCATCACCTACAGAAACTAAAGGCTTGCTCAGGCTCTGAACCTAGATCTAAGAAGCAGTGTTTGCATCTGTCTTGAGGGCTAACGCCCCTTCTCATCGCTGAAAGGAGCTCACCAGGTGATGAGTGTGCTCCTTCCATCCCTCTCACCATAGGCACTGGCAGCAGAACCTGCAGGCATCCCCTCGAGGTCAGCAGAGCTGCACCACACTGCCTCCAAGCTGCACATCCACCCTGTGCCTCCTGAGTATTGCGTGCCTGCTAGTGTCAATGCTAACAAATCCCAAAAGCTTTAATGCAAATACTGAAAAGGACTGATGACATGAATTTTTAGAATAATGCTTCACATAATTAGGTATTCTTCTGAGAAAAATACCTCCATTCACTAATGGAACATTTTCTGCTCGTACAAGCATTTTTTGAACTCTGCTTTCAGATTTTTACAATGAAAGCTATATTCTAGTAACATCAGAATTGGAATCCCTTCAAAAACATGCAAAAACAGTTTGATATGAATTGATACTGCCACTTTTGCTTTCAGACAGTTGTTGACACCTGATATGAAACAGTCCAATTGCATTTCATGGGCAGTTATCTTACCCTCATTTTTCATCACCCCAAACTGTAAACTACTCCCTGTATTGTCCAGCTCCACAACCAATGGTATTCCACATATTTTCCCATTCAAACTGCTGAAGAAAGATGCTTCTGTAAAAGCCAAAAGTGATCTACTGGCATTATTCTCATTTAGATGTTTCTATCAAGGGTGTTGCTCCTATTCTGATTGAGCAGGAACAACAGGTAAATCATAACAGACATTTTCACTGACATGTGCCAATAAATCAGTGAAAGGAACAGAGACAGTTAAGCCCCAAACACTTCCAAAGGGAGGAATTGTTTACTAGCTAGTAAAGTCTGCAAGATGACCCTCAAATAACAAAGGGCTTGCACAAAATATAACAATATCAGAAACAATGATAAAGAACAGATTTCTAGGTAGGTAGGATGCCCCAGGAGACCTTGGCAAGAAGATCAGCTGCCAGAACTCTGCAAGAAGGAAGACAGGAGCAATTTTATCCCATAGATGGATGGCTCTCTCTGGGGATAAGCTCTTTGTTGAGAACCCATAAGGCAAGCTGGTCTTCTCTCTCTCACTGTAAGATCATTGGTGTAAGACACTACAAATGCTACCCAGCACTCATATTTTTGGGCAATTGAAAGCAAGACAAATAGATATAGGGGAGAGAAATATTCTTCTGAAAAAGATGTCATCTTATTTTAAGCATTACTCTATTATGGTCCTTATTTTCTCATCTCTATCATTTATTTAAAAACATAGCTATTGTGCTTTCTAATAAACACTTTTCATACCTTTTTGCAGTTAAATAAATAGTTTTATGTCTTCAAGGTAAATAGATAATGACAACATATTCTTTGTTTGGAAACTAGCAAATCTATTAATGAGGACGCCTTCTCACACTAACATCTAAGTTAAAAAAAAATTAACAGTGAGCCTTTATTTCAGCTACATATATCAGTATGGAGAACAGTTGACAATCAAGAATAAAGACTCTCTGGAATTCAGCAAGATATTTGCTGAATCTTGGCAAAAGCTATATTACATGTTGTTATTCTAAGGTAAATTAAAATACCAAAGATACAATGAAACATTTATGGTCCTTCATCTTTTTCTCTCACTTGTCTCTTGTGCAATGCTTAGTGCTCTGTAAGTGGAAGTACAACTTACTAAGTACGCTGAAGTACTTTCTGATGGCAGCAGCGATCTTTAAGTAACTTGCTTGCAGTAATCTAAACTTCATCTAAGAAAGGTGTGTAGCTTGTCACCAGCTACTGTTGCAGTATTAAGACATAGCTTTCATTTGGGCTGTACAATTAATTAATTAAGACAATTAATGAACTACTAAGTGCTGCCTTACAAAGCCCAGGTAACTCTCTAGTACCAGTTCTGCAAAGTCACTCACAGCTTCCATCACGACCACCTCCACAGTACAGAGAAGCTGTGGCTAGCAAGACAAGTTGTAGAGCAGCCATCAAGCACTGGTCAGACAGACACCAGGAAGTCACACCAGGAGATGTGATCATCTTTTGCAATAGCCCAGGGCTTGCCACAGCCTCCAGATGTACACTGTGTACAGGAGACTAACGCTGATATCCGCCACAGGAGCTTCTCAGACAGCACTGGTAAACTCTCTACACCACAGACCCGTAGCAGACAAAGAAAGGCCACCAAGTTTCCCTAGGGCTATCTCAAGCAGAAAAGGGCAAAGCATATCACAAAAACAGCTCTCGAGTGCCGGCAGCATTGAAAGAGCAAGGCCACAATTCCCCCTACCCTCTACTCGTTGGCAAGGCAGAATTTGGCATGAATGCGTCATTATTGATTCCTAGCAGTGCTAATTTCAGCATGCACTGCTTTACACTTTTGCCCAGGGCATTTCAAGAAGTTGGAAGAGGATTTCTTACCTTTATATCCATCCTTCTGAGACTATTTACAATCTTGACTGTGAATCCTGTACTTCATTAGTAAACACAAGAAAGCTTCCACACTATATGCAAAGCCTAATGTTTTTCCCGTTTTCTCTAGTTTCTTCCTTAGCTGTCACTGTGGTATGACTTCCCCATGGTTGTTCCTGCTAAGGAGGCCACCAAACCCATACTGATGTGTAGTTCCAACAGCCAGGGATGGCACCATGATATTTTGCTTCTGTGCACTTATCACTGCATCTCTTCATCACGTTCAAGATTTTATTTTCCACTTTCTCTGTCTGACAGCCTAACGCATAATACATCCTTCCATGACATATTGCTGATTATTATTTCTACATTTGATATAAAATAAAGTTTTAATCTGCATGCATTTTAATTTACTGTTATATTTTCAGAAATAATTAAAAACTTAAATCCTTACCTTAAATTTATCAACTTCTGCCTTTGAACATGTTGCATGATAAGATAAAACCTGCCTCAGAAAAAAAGATAAAAAATACTTTTGTAGAATCAACAAGAAATAATAGGGCTCTTACTGCAGTCTAATCAATGATTTTAAAAACAAATTTAATTAATACATGTGCCTGATAATTCAGTTCTGAATATCAACATACAATTATTAATTGCAGGTTATCATTCGGCATTTATATTTTAGGTAATTTTATGGGGAAACATGGATAGTAAGTAATTTTATAAGTGCTCTTTTATTGTTATCCTGGAGTTCTGCAATTAAAACAGAAAGAATTTAATGTAAAAATAACTGTAGATTTATAGACATTAAATAATGCCTTTTGCTACACTGTAGAGCTTTAATGCCTCTGCTAATGGCACATCATTGCATGCAAATTAGCACCTCTGTGCTACTCCTGACATTCTTTTCATTTCTGTCGTGTAGAAGAAAGTATCAAATATAATGCATAAAGTACTGCATATCTAGTGTAATAACCTAAAAGTATGCATACATGGCATACATTATATACTTATATGAAGATACTAGCATTGAACAATCACTCCAGAGGGCACAAAAGCCATCCTGCGCACGGTAGGAGGCAAAAGTCTGCAAGAGAGCTTGGAAAGCCAGAGTACTTCTACCAAGAAGTACCCCAGCAACAACTAGTCTGCTCATGTACTTAAGCTTTGATATAGACTCCTAATTTTAAAATTGTTTTCATATATGAATGTTTCTGCTACTCATAACAGAGTACAAATAACCAAACGCTCTTACAAATGCCCTTGGCTTGCAATACCCCGTGGCAATAAACCCAAAATGTATTTACTCATATTAGTTTTAAAGGCATTGACTTTTACAGTAACAGGAAATCCCTGCACTACGAAAGATTAAATTGCAAATGCCAATTTACTTGTTCTGTCCCATGTTTTACTTTCCATAACTATATATCATATCCTTCCTCAAAAAGTATCTATGTCCTGCCCTAACATAGTTTCTCTCAGAAATCTATAAAACTAGGAAAACAAGTCTTCTGCTTATGACAGATTACACTTAATACAAAAAAGTTTCTCCTTTATCTGCATTCATATCCCTGCAGATTTTTGTTGTCCTCTCTATTATCCTTTTTTTTTTTTTTTTTTCCCCAATCATACACAATTTTTGAATACTTAAAGTCAATCTTTCCTCAGCATTTATTTATTTCTTGGTTTTCTATTTATTAGCCAGTCTTAAAGAACTGTATCTCTGTGTTTGGGTAAGAATCTTTAAATAGTATAAATCAAATTGATTTTATATGATAACAATGTCATCATGAAATGTCACTCATCGTCACCCTAGCCAAATGCATACGTATTCATAAAGTATTCTCTTACTGAAAAATTAATTCACAGTCCTTCAACATATACCTTTCTTTTGTACAGTATTTTTCTGCTATATCTTATGAGTTGCCTTTCATTTATAGAGGGAATTACTCCTTTGAGCAGCATAGTGGCCATTTATCAGATCTATTATATTTAGGTAAGTTATATGGCTATGAGTCCTTTTTAGATCTAAGAAAGAAGCAAGAAATTCAAATTTCCTGAATTTCAGTAGTAAATAAATTTCTATGTTACCTTTTATATCTATATATTTAAGTGCGATGCCTGCAACTGCTTTTTTCTTGCCAGGAAGAGTATTCTGTCTAAGCTGTTATTTTGCACAAATTACTGCAGTTGGTGAGAGTTTGTAGTAATTAATGACAGTGACATGTAAAGAAGGAATCTTTGCAGCAGGCCAGAGCAGCAAAGATTTTCCCTTTCCTTCCAAAATGAACACATAAATAAGAATAATCAAAATGCTACTAATGCTTAGAATGTTTTCTAAAAGGCTTAACATGTTTACATGCTTTATGGGATTGATTCCTGATACAAAGACATATCTTCAACCCTAAAGGAAAGGAGAAAAAAAATGCTATCTTAGCAATCCAGTTTGGTTTGATTTTTGTTTTAACTTAGGAAAAATTTCTATGTCATTCAGACTAATGCTGGTGTTTTGGTTCTTATCACAATGGTGAGTACGGTGTAAATTTGAAGGAGCTCCACAGTTACAAGCATGCTCACATCAGGGATGTCTAGATCGTTTCCTTTTTTACAAGATGTGAAATTTATTATAATACTAAAATCATACAAATCTACTCTTTTCATTGAAGGAATCTTATAAAAATTATGAGTCTAGCATGATGCTTCAAAAAGAAATTAAATTTCATTCAAACCTCGCTCAGTTATTGATTCAGTTAGGAATAACGTAAATCTCTAAAGCTATTCTCAAAGTTCAAACCTTTGTGCTCGTGATTTTTTCCCCCACTATCTCATGTTTAGAATGCCCAGAATATAATAGAGAATAGAGCCTCATTGTTGAATCAGCTTATAGAACCTGTAAGAAATGTTCTGCATTCTATACTCTGTTTTACTGGAGCAGATAAGTTTTGGGGGAAAAACACAGGAAAAGAAATTTGTTCAAAGTTAGTGGAGGAAGACAGACATCAGTTTTTTATCTATTTAACTGCTCTGAATGTTATGTAGACAGGCAGTGTTGTGGAAGACCATTATGTGTTTGCTCTGATCCACAATAGCAGGGTTTCTACTGATCACTTTTTTCCTGTTCACACTACTTCTCATTCACAACACTAGAAAAGAAAGACAACAGGCTATGTAAAAACAGCAATTTTTAAGAAATGTCCAGTTAATGATGGAGAAGAGGAAGACTCATTCCTGCAAAGACTATATCTGCAATGAACTAGTTTGTCATCACTGTCCCCTCTTAAAGTGAAAACAAACAACAACAAATCAAAAGTAAAAAAAAAAAAAAAAAAAAAAAAAAAAAAAAAAAAAAAAAAAAAAAAAAAAAAAAAAAAAAGGAAAGGAAAGCAAAGCAAAGCAAACCAAAGAAGAAACAACCAGGGACATCAGGTGGGATTTCAAAATTATGTAAAGCTGTGCATGATCTTCACAGCTAAGCGTATTCTGAAGTTTCCCTTCAGTATTTCTGTAAAACAGTGCTCCAAAGTGCAGAAAAGTAGATTTAAAAATGAGTACAATAAAAAAAAATAAGTACAATAAATTCAGAAACAGTAGCTTTCTGTACTTGTACACTTATGATTCACAAAGAAGTTTCATTAAGAAGTATACATACATCAAGAGCCACAGACTGTTTTGCCCAGGATTTCTTCACTTGGTCATACATAATTGTGTTGTTGATACCCAGACCACAGAAAATAACAAAGGCCTAAAATGAGACAGAGGTGGGAGGAAGAAGAGAGAAAAAAAAAAATCAATTATCATTTTGTTATAATACAAACATAAAGATGAATGCTGGCTTAACAACTGAAAAAAGAATTGCCTAGAAGTGTTAGGAATGTTTATACAAGTTACCTTGAGAGTGAATGTAAGTCACTGGCCTTAATTAGATGAGAATGATCAGCTGCAAGAGCTATTTCAGACAGGATGCAGCCTTATTGAGTGCTTCTGAGAACTAATCACAAATACAGATAACATTCTTCCCACCTCCCTTAAGTAGGCTGAAGGAACATTACCCAGAAATATCAAATACTGCTGAAAAACTGTGTTTCTGCTACAAGATTGAAGTCTCTTACCTCGAACAGTCGCTGGTCAGCATCATCAAAGGGCTTCCCATCAAGTCTGTTCAACACTTGAGCTACCCCTTTAGAAAGAGTTAATATAAATTATCATCTTTATTCACTAAATTAATATGCAGAACACTTTATTCAATAGTAACATTTAAAATACATTTGTAAAACTGGAAAGCAAACTTGCAAATATTTATCAAGAAAAACAATAAGCAGCATCAATATGTGGAGGTCTGTCTGTTTTGATACCAGGACTGCTTATTTCTTTCAGCTGTTAGTCTTTGTTCTGTAAGTATAACATTGGGGAGCTAAACAAAGTGACTCCCAGTGCTTTTCAGAAAAGGTTCAACATCTCTTTCGGAAAGGATTTCACAAACAGAGTAAAGTTAGTTGTCCTAGCAATTTGAAGTTGCATAATTTACCAAAACTGACCTTCATTCCTAAGTATCAGCTAATTTAACAACATCAGGGTGTGTAAGACCCTTTTTTTGTCCTTCTCATGACTGGTCCACAGATGTATTGAACAATGAAAAAAATAGTTTCCTTAAACCACCTGGAAACATTCAAAGCTCTTGGCTCTACAGAGCTGAACAGAGTTCTACTGCAACAAACGATTTCTACTTCATTTAGCTAAGCTTACCCTTAGACAAACAGTATGAACTATCAGCTTCTGAGCGTTGAGTTTTCCTTCTACTTTTCTCAGGTAATATGCAATTCACAACAAAGAATGAGCCACATATATAAAAGGCTCACTTCCCACAACATCTCTACTGATTAAGCTCAAAGATTCTGTGTGGCACTGAGTACCTTCAAAGCAATCCTGATTCCAGCTCTCACCAACTGCCACAGCATACAGGGATGCAAATATTACAAGTCTAAACTGATACAGCTTTGACTTGAAATTTTCTGGGGAAAGCTGAGGAGGAAACCAGCACTAATTTATAAATATTATTCTTTTTTCAGCCGAAAGCCAGTAAGAATGCAGGTGTATCATTGTTGGGAAGCACCCTATCAAACAGGCAATAAAACCTTGTCTCGTCCTAATCCAGCACACACTGCTGCCACAGGCAACCCTGACAGCTGCCTCAGTCTCTACGGTAAGTCATCCCTAGCTGTGCGTTTCATTGTTAAAAAGGGAAACTGTCTGGCAGGACTGCAGGAACAGTTGCATGAGTTATACACAAAAAAGGCAGACTCACAAAAAAAGTATCGAAGTACAACAAACTTTTTTCACTAATAATGTTAGCATTTCAGTTTTCATCGTGTTTGTTTTCAAATTTCAATACCATGAATAACTTAACAATGATACAATGGGAAAGCTGAAAAAGTCCATACAGTATCCAAGTCAAAACATCCCTTCTTGGATACTTAGCATGCATCCTAGGTACCGTAACTTCTTAACAATATTCAGCTGGGAAAAAGAAGAAAAGGAACACAGAATTAAAAAGACAGAATTCAATTTACATTAGCACAAAAACGGTGTGGCTGTGAGGAAGTTCTTACCGATTATTTGGTGGTTGCTATTCCATATAGGAACACAGAGAACAGACCTTATGTGAAAGCCAGAGATCTGGTCAGCCTAAAATGTAGAAATAAGAGCTTCCATTATGCTCTTCTTTTACTACACTTGACTATCCATACAAATAATCCATTGCAACAATTAAATTTAAGAATAAAACTTTCACATGAACCCACCAACAGAAAATAATCACTGCCCTTTGTATCAAATGATTTTTTTTTTTCTATATATAATTGGGCAGCACTTCAAATGGACTAACTGTAAACCAAATACAAGACAAATGAATTGTTCGGGACATAACATACTGAAAGTACAACTGCAAACATAGCAAGGATTGGCATGCTTTATTTCAGCATAACTCTTTGGCAAGGAATAGACCCCAGGCATTAATTGTACTTCTAGAAATTCTGAATAAATTAGCATTAACACAGGGTTTTTTGAACATTTTTACAGCTGACTCCTTTCAGTTTTAGTTTTCTTCTTTTTTGGCAGTCTTCTGATGTGGCCACTACTATCCATAATGACATACGTAATAAAACTGAAGCCAAGGAAACTCTTGCATGAAATACTTCCAAGCACATTCGCTGTAGTGTTATGATTTGGTAAGCTTGCTGACCAAGACTGTCCACTGATTCATGTGCAGCCAAACTGCTGGCCAAGTCTCCCATAACAATACTGTTCCACTGGACAGAATGCAGTGAAGACTTCATCTTTCCCTATGCCTTTCACATTTATTCAGGCACTACGCATATATATGTGCACACACATTTTTATCTTCCTAGCTGTGACTGGAACTAATACCTTAGGACTCATACAAAACATCTATTACGAGCGTTATTCATCTTGGAGAAAATAACTAGACCAATGCATACATTTGTTTTGTGCAAAATACCACATTAAGAGGGTAGTTGGCCAAGTAAGACCACAAACAATATTTGTTCTTTAGATGTTGGTTGTTTATACTCCATGTGCACAATCCCAGTCACTCTGACAGCTAGCAATGACATTGCTAACATCAACAGCAGAATTTTCAGCAACGAAAATCCATTTGTGTAAATCTCAAAGTACTTCATAGTGGAAGGTACTGTTTAAACATTTGCTAAAAAAGAATCACCAAGAAGCCAGTAACTGCCTGTAGTCATACGCTAATTCAGTGACATGTTTGCTATATAAAGTCACATCAATACCAGCAGGCCTGAACAAGGACATACTGAAAAGAAAATAATTCAAAACGGATACACTCAATTTTACAGTACCTTGTAACTGTAGAACTGTATTGTATTAGTTTCAAAGCCAAAAATACAATGTTACATTCACACTTCTAAAAATCTTACTTCAGCATCAAAGCGAGGATCCTGATAGGCATCACTGATATTCACCGGGAGACCCGTGGAAGCTACAAGTTCAGCTATGCTGTTATTTATTAGCCAGTCAGAGTAAGATGGTGATTTCTCCACACCCTCTTTGAAACTATCAGAAGATATAGCAAGAGAAGGAAAGAATACATTCAACGTTGCTTGAAAGTCCAGCACATTTTACAGGCATTCTCATAGGAACTGCAGAACTGTTCACAGTTACTAATGGTTAGTAAGCATTATCTTTGAAGCAGTAATTTGCTATTTATTGAAAGAGGATATAAAAAAAAATTCTCCTTTACACAACTCCTCTGATTGAAAATAGCATCGATCTCCCGTGATACTTACACATTTAATAATGAAATCCACTGACACATGGATCAATAACAGGATCATGTTCACATCTCTGTGGGAGATAAGCCTGAAACCTGTACTAAAAATTTTCTGTAAAGCTAGCTGAAAGCACAGAATTTCAGATCTTAATTTTTCAAATTAGGCTTATAATTTTATATATTTATATATATTTTAGTCCATACTTCCAATGATTCTTTGTCTTTGCAAAATGTTTTTTGTTTTTAATTTTCATCTGCAGTGTTAGATCAGATTAGAAGGGATTGTGAAATGAGTCTTGAAATCAATAATGTGTGTTACAGCAAGTGGATCCTGGTAGGTATATAATACATTAATGTTTCCTCCTTGACTGACTTTCTGCCACAACTACTAAAGGGCTACAGAGCATAAGATACAAGAACTGTGAGCTCAACACACCAGCATCACCTCAGCTTGTGCTGAAAACTCAGTGTCTACACAGACCTTGAAAATCCTCATACATTCTCTTATCTACTCAGAAGGAGAATTCTCACTGACTTATTGCAAACAGGTTTTTATGGTTGGCAAACAGTAGCTATTTGCGTGAACATCTGTATGCATACTATCTTAGCTTTGAGAATAAAACTGATCAACACCTGAGACATTAGCTAGGAGAAAGTGATTGAATAGCTGTGGAGAAGACCACAATGGCTTGATACTTCAAAGTAATGAATAAGATGAAGACATATGCACAGTAAAATGTTCAGAAGACTCAATCAAAATGAAAGGATTGATTTTTGTTGGCCACATTAATTTTCTGAAAGCTAATTCAACTAAGTCATTCCTTTGAAAGAAAACTCAATATTCCTAAAAGGCTATAAATAAAGATAATAATAATGATTTACACAAAGAAATCCAAGTGTATCAGCTTTAATTTGGATAAGAATTTTGAGTAATAAATGTTGCATATGCACTTTGACAGGAGCCTTTACTGAAAGAAAATATTTTTGAGCTAGGTAAGAAAATATATTTTCATGATGTAAGATTTATTTGAGGACATCAATATACTTGAGAAGCGGAGGAAAAAGATCTTTCAGGATAAGAATCTAATTTCAAATGCATAGATCCCACTTCATATCTTAAAAATCTGGATACTTTCATTATAATCTAAGACACATTAAATTGGGTTTAGAGTATAACTGTTCAGCATTTTAAACAGTAAATGATTTCAAGTCAGGAAGAAGTTTTAAGAGTATGTTCTGTATCATTCCCAACCCTTGCAAGTGCTTTACAACCACACTCTGAAGAGATGCACTTGACTTTCACCAGAGGAAATATCAGTGTTTAATTCTGATGCAGATCTCAGCCAGCTGGCTCCCTCTCTATTCTCAGCAGCTCAGAACAATCAGATTTGCCTCTAAAAATCACAAGCAACAATATCCTTCATACCGTGGAAAGCCATCAGCTGGACTGCTGGACTAATGCAGGCAGCTGCACGCCACTGCCTCCTGTTTTGCCTACACACAGGCAGAAGCATCATGTGCCAGACAGGAAAGAATACTCTGCTCTAAGAGCACTAAGTGGTGCTGCAGGCTTCCCTCACACAACTGCATTCTTGTGATCTTCCCAAAAGTGATATTCTCTGACAGGGGCAGCCAGAAGCACAGCTACCTTTAATCCCCTCTAAATTAACGTAAACCCTTCCAACTCCTGGGATTAGAAGAGCAGGAATATGCCTTAAGAAGCATAAAAACACCGCAGGGAATGAGGTGGTGCAGAAGCGAGCATCATTCCTAGGGATGGCAGCAGTGAAACAGCAATAACATGGATTTCTGCACTTTGTGTGCCTGCCTAACTGGGAAGGAGAACAGATATTTTCTGTGCAGCTCATACTAGCCAAGGTTGTTCACCTTCTCACCACCGCTGGTATTCAAGTTATTGAATAGGAATGTCAGCTACATCATCCACTAAGATGCCTTCTGTGCAGGAAGGACATGACTCACAGCACCTGTCCCCCTGCTCACCTCTGCCCAGAATACATCCAAACTGAACTCAAGGCTTCAAAGACTCAAGTAGCTTTCTTTCAAAGAGAGAAAAACTTGAAAACCCGTGCTTCATGAATAAAGTGATTGTCATAAAGGACAGTATCTTATGAATTAGAACTGAACTTGATCCTGGCACGTGTTGGAATCTGTCAAACAGATAAATTCAAGTGTGGTCTCACAAGGTATTTCTTTATAACCAACAGCAAAGAAAAAAAGATGTGAGTATTCAATTATAATGTTCAAGGACTAAGCTGGTAAATTCTTACCATGCAGAGATGAAAAAGGCAAAAGAAAAGCTAATTTATTCTAAAACCGAAGGATAAGTTAGAACCTAAAACAATACGTTGTCCTTGGACTTTCTCTCTCCTTCAAATAAAACGTACAGGTTGAGAATGGTTCTAGTTATAATCTGTTTAGCTTTCCACTAAAACTTCAAAACAAAAATATTTATCTCCACTGGAGTCATGATGAAGAAACTCATCTTGCCATTTATTTTCCTACAGGACGCTGCATTAGTTAGGTCCATAGAATGTGGAATGAAAAGGGCAAAACTCACTAGAAGAAATGGTCAAATGCCAAGGGCTCCTCACATTGTTCTGTATCCTAAATAACCTTTATTTTCCCACTATAGTGCCAACAACTCAAGCTGTGCCTGTGCTAGATCCAAATGTAACATCATATCTGTCAGTCTGAACTTAATCTTTATAAAACCAATTTCTCCCCCCACTGGATGGAAAAATGAAAGAAAAGCAGTCTTTACATTAAAATACACAGAAATAGACCTCTATAAATCTTACTAATGGTTGGCATGTGTTTATTCATTTCTCTAACTAAAAGTTGAAACAATCGACTACAGGCAGTGCAGGCTACTACAAATTGCTTTTTGGTAACATGCTAGCATAACTATGGTAACAAGAAACAAGCCAGCTTGGTTATTTTCACACCAGTCTACACTGTGTTGACTAAGCTGGCTACTGATCAAGTATGACAAAAACAGGAATAACAACCACATCTCCTGATTCACACCTCTGACCCCTAACAAAAGGAATGTATAGTCGCCCATTTAATTGACCTAGGAAAGAGCAATTGCTCTTTCTCAAAGGGACTAAATTACAGTTCCCAGATGGATAAACAGATTATTTATTCATGTTTAAACCGTAAAGTGATATTTTTTTTTTAATCACTTGCTTTCCTTTCCTATTTTGTCTCAAGAATCCATCTCTTCAGTGGTTGGTAGGGTACAAAAGAGATGTAGTTTCTATCTGTCCTTCTGTGTGGACCTGGACTCTGCTGTCAGCTAGTAAATTTTGTAATCGTGACAACAATCTACGAAAAACCTTAGGAAGATGTCATAATTTGGAGTACATTATACACATTCACCTTAATGAAGTGGCAATTTCTTACCACACTGGAGATAGATAAGAAAAGCACTAAAGGCAGCAATTTATCCATAAATATATTTCAAAAGCTGTTTGAAAAAAATGTGTGTGTCAAAGCACAAAGTAATCTTCAAGCCTGCTATGTATTGCAAGATGGAGAGAAGGCTTACACCATTATGGCAACAATTCCACACGGGAAATTATAATTTAGAATCAGAATCATTTTACTTTGCATTCAATACATATGAGTTAATTATTGATTTAGGGTCTTAAAAGATGGGAGAAGCCTTCTCACAATATCCCTGAAACTTCATCCACTTATTTGATATTTAGGACCTTTTATGTGAACTTCTATGTTTCCAGATATATTATCTTGTAGGCATTAGTACAATAATCCCACAAATAGCTCTCATACTACTTACAGCTAGCCCTTTATCATGTTTAAAAACAGATCCTATTAAGCAAAACATACATTTGTTTTGACTGGACTCCCACACCAGAGTTACTCACAGAATGCAATTTTTAGCATATGCATGTTCTGTGAGATTTTTAGGCTTTACAACTTGACAAGAACAGAAATCAAATCTTACTGGAAACCTTTCAATGCAACTGTAAGGAGGCATTTTGTAAAAGATCAACAAACAATTTGAAAAAAAAAATTGTAATTTTTACTTCAGCACTTACCATGCAAAACAATATTTGTGTATTTTCCACAAGTTCGATAACAAAAATCATCATTAGTTTCTTGGTTTCTGTTTTGAGATACTGATAAAATGCTATATCAGCATGTATAGCAGTATTAACACATTTATTCAACCAGTTTTTCATTTGAACAAGATCTTTGCTTCAAGTAAAAACAGTAGGCTGACACTCTTCAAGCAAATCTATCTAAAGGTTCATAACAAAATAAAACCAAGATCAAGCAAATTTAAAACTGAAAAATATAAAGCAATCTATTACCATAGAAGACACAAGCACCAACCTGTTTTCAGTATCAGCACTGCATTTTGGAGATAGTAGCTCAAAGGATTTTGTAAATTTCACTACCTGTTACATAAGTAAAAGGAATTTTAAATTGTTGTTAGAATTACAAGTACACAAGTAAACATTAATGTAAGGTTACTGTATTTAAACCATATTTTTCTCCAATGAACCTACAACAAAGAATTAAATCTGTATTTCCTCAGTGAAGAATTCATGTAAAAATGTACTATGCACCATTCATAAAACAAACAATACCAAATCAAATGATAGCTTAATGAATTATGAAGAACAGAAATCATTTCTGCAACAGTATGCTTCCCTTCAGAGTTCTTTGGAACATGAACTACAGAGCTTTACCTAAATCTTTTTTTTTTTTTTCTTGGGGGGGTGGGGAAGCAAACAGAAATATGCTTTTGCAGTAATTGCAATCTCTTTTCCTTGAACTTGTGTCAACAGTACACAAACAAAGCATTTTAAGAGTAGCTGATGCAACACAGAACATAGATAATGGTTTTAGATGCTAAAGAACATCCACCTTTTATTTCAGTTCTGAATTGTAAATATTTTTCATGCTGTATATGGATGATATTTTAGACATGGCTTAGCATTAAGTTAGTCTATAGAGATCCATTTTGATATAAAGGTTAACCTTCTGAAATAGGGAAATTGGGAAAATAATTGCTTTGTCACTTTGTAAAAAATATATAAATGAGCATTTAGATGCTGTTCTCCTATTGCAAATTAACCTAAGTTTTATTATTATTTAAAAAAAACACAAGGGTTTGTTGTTCTCAGGCTTATCTGAATACCTCAGCTGTCTGCATTTCAGGATTTGGTCTAGGTGAATGAGAAGATTGTGTGTAGTTGGGAAAAAACCCTCCATGTTAAGTAGTAGAAAAGGTACTAAGAACAGAAAAAAAATGAAATGCCATCCACCATCTGCCAGAAACACAACGTACTACTGCTCTATGAAAAATAAAAATGATATTATACTTGCAAACATAGAAATGTAGTAGAATTATATCATCAAGAAATGTGGGGGGAGGTTAGTGTAAGAAAACACTAGAAACATTAAAATTATATAGCAGAACGTACATGAAATCCAAAGCTCTGTCGTGCTTTCACGAATGCTAGTGTAATTTAGGGCATACTCTGTGGAAAGTACTTAATTTCTATTAATTTAAATGCAATGAGAATCATAGCTTTCCTCCAGGAAATAAATAGTTTTTCTGCCATATATACAATCTTGTGATTCTCTTATAATCATTTAGACTCTCACTGATGCACAGCAAATCAATTACAGAGTCAATGAATCTGAAGAAACTTGGATAGAAAAGAATGCTTCAACTACTGATTTAATCAGTTGGAATGAAGGAAGATCGTGCTCAAATGGAGACACTAATATAAAGGTAACCAACAATCATAACAATGTTTACATTCCTAAAAGAGGCTCTCATACCCTATGAATGGCAGTATTTAAAGCGTCCTGGCAAAGGTTCATGCCAAAATGAAATCCAGCTTTGGACAGATAGTTTCATATGGCTTACCTCTACCTGCTCAACTTAAGAGCTCTGCAATGAAGTAGTTATTCCTTGATCAAATTGACTGAGCAATTGGAAAAAACAAGAATACTTCAGTAATGTTGAAAGTAATGTTTTCACTTAACCTGCTCAATGCAAATGCTTCCTTCTACCACAAGAGCAAGTACAGTTCTAAAACTGCATGAAGGCACCACCTGCTTGATAAGGTATTAGCCTGAAAACATCAACAAGGTCGTAAGTTCCAGGTAAATGTGAACAAAACTACAGACAGGATTTTTCTTTCCTCCTAGTGGCTATGGTATGAAAGAAAGAAGCCAAGCAAATAAATAATTGAGAACAAATCAGGTCCCTATTTTTTACCAAGCAAATCTAAGAAGTGCTTGCTGTCCTAGCTGCTCTGCAGTAAGCACTAATTCCATCACACATGCAACTGCGAAGGACAGCTAAACTGCTGGGTCACAACACTGATAGATCCTTCAGCAACTTACAGGCCTCATATTAAATGCCTTTAATGAACAGAAGGAATCAAAAATACATTTCCGTTTCCCCTCAAACAAGTGGTACTGGATAAAGGTACATACAACCTGTACATAACTTGCATTGAAGAATTATATGCTGAAAGAATTCTTGCTATCCAATGCTTACATTAAATATGAAACAGCTTCTCCACAATACAAAAAAGCTGCTACTCAACTCATCTATTAACCCTTCAACAAGAGGTGCAGGTATACTTACTGGGGATTCAATATCTTCCAGAAGTAATACTGAACACCGTTCACACTTGAGTAGAGTCTGGGCCCGATGCATAATTTTCTTGACAATCTTCTCTAAGTCAGTCTGTTCTTCGAAGAGGTCATTCACTACTTCCAGTAAAGCCTGTATACAAGGATACAGAACTCTTATACTGGTTACAGAATACATAAATATATGGAGCATTGCAAGGAGTCAATCTCTGCAGTCTTGATTTTAGTTTAAGTGAAAACTGAAATCTTCATTCACAAAATTCTTAATGATTATGGCAACAGTCAGTGGTGTGTGGTCAGAGGGGTATCTAGAAAAATAAATAAGCACACATCTCTATACTCAAAACTGACCACAGTTCAACTCCTAGCAATAAAAAGGGAATCTTACGAACTATTTCATTTTGGTTCAAAAATGAAACAATGGGTGGAACGCAACCCCCCAAGTATGTAGTATGGATTGCGTTGCTTGATTTGCAATAATGAATTTGCTAGTGCATTTATTTCCCACTTTGTATGTTCAAAATTTGAGAGAAGATTATATTAATACTTCCATATTCAAACAGAGCTCTGATCCCATTTTTACTACTAACAATTTATCTTCTCCCCTTCTCATTTCATTACCTACAAAAACAACAGGTCATGCTCTTTCCTACAAGTTCAAAAAAGGTCCAAAACCCTTTCCTTTATTCTGGCTAATGGCACTGAAACTGAAAACCTGCCCACTTAGGTAAGCATAAAAGCATTAGTGGGCTTAGCTGTCCCAATGCAGTAGTCATCAAAATATTGATCACAGTCATTGAAGTCGCACCACTCATGTCCTCATTGATGGGGAGGCCAAAATATGGGTTTAACTATCACATTTTACTTGCCAACTATTTTCAATCATCAGCCAAAGCTGAAGACCATCAACAGGTCAGAAACATAAGTACAGACTACCATATACCTGTCAAATGGCAACAAATATTAATTATGCTTTCCATGGCTGAAGCACTAAGAAAAAATACCTGCATCTCTAAACCTATTTCCTAATGCGTCCACTCGCCAGAATTCACCATTTTCTGACACCAAATGAGAACATCCAAAATATTCTTCTGCAGAGAGAATGTCTCTCAAAAGATTAAATGCTGCTTCCTCAAAAGCCTGTCATTGTTCCCAGAAGGCTGGGAATCTGTAGCAAATTTTAAATCTCTAAGCGCTCAAAAAATTTTGTTTCAATATCAAACAAAGAAAAACCACTACCACCACAAACAGTGGAAGAAAAGCATTTTTTTCCCAAGCCTCCTCCACACCCCCACATCCAAAATATAGTGGTCATTAGTTAGACCTGGACAAAAGACAGCTCAAATATTTAACAATATTTACATCTACGCATTATTAGAATGGGCCATTAGTTTTCAGCTGAGTGGAAATCACTAGTCTCCACACATGAAAAGCACTAAAATCCAAGCAATGAAAATGTTAGTGCTTGATACAAGGACCAACCCCACTGTAGTTTCCCCAGCTTTGTGAAGTAAGATTTGTTAGGCACTACAGATGGTATTTCAACTGAAAATTCAGTGTGAAAATCAGGAAAAAACTTCCCAAATCACAATTTCATTTCTTTAAAAAATAAAAGTCACACCAAAAAGCAAAGGGCATGTGAGCTCACTGTTACTCTCACTTCTTTGAAGCCTTCTATCCCAACTCACACATCATCAGCAACCATGAGTAACATACCTATGCAGATACATGCTTTTGAAATCTTTTACATACAAGTCTTTGCTTGTTTACTTTTATAAAGATGATCTAAATTATTCACACACAAATTGAATGCCAAAGTTTTGATATTTCTGGAGTTTTACTAGAGTTTGAATCACTGCCAATGTAACTCTTTCTACTGCACTGTCACCAGTACAATTGTCTCAGTACTCCAACACAAGAAACTGACATCAGGAAACAACAGATACCACCAAGAGCTTTTCCTCCCACGTTCCCTGCTTGCTGCCTTAGTAAAGTTTGCTATCTGCTGGAAATGCATCTTTGGAAATAAAATGTAGTTAAGACAGTCTGGTTAGCAAAAAAGTACACATAGCTGAAATCTGAAAGAACAAAAAATGAAGATTTGATACTAGTTCAACATATGAGGACTGCTCAAAAAAGCACTGCCTCCTATTTTATTATGTTGGTCCACAACATTAGAGGTGGACATTGCTGGTATGGCAGTAGAGTTTCAACCTTCCTGTCAGTATTCCATTACATGTTGTTGCTGTGACAGGTGGCAGTAGAGGGGCAGTCTGTTAAAATGGTGTCTGAAATGAAAGTGCATATAAAGCAAAGGTATGCCATTGAATTCCTCCTTGCAGAAAAAGATGGCACCACTGACACTCATCGACACTTACTGAAGTGTTTATGGAGACCAAACAATGGATGTGAATACACTGAAGCAGTGGGTGGTGTGTTTCAGCAGTGGTGACAGCAACATGGAAGACAAGCCATGGTCTTGTCACCTAGTAGATTTTTAAGAGCATAGCATGCAGGCTCTTCTTCATCACTGGCAAAAATGCATAGCTGACGGTGGTGTCTTCGTTAAAAAATAGCATTTTGTATCCAATAATTTGCTCTATCCAATACTGTTATTGTGCACTTTGTATCTAAGATAGTTTCCATAGAAATAAATAGGAGGCATTACTTTTGGAGCAACTTACTTACATTTTGTTACTCACCCTGCTTCTGTCATATTCCTTCCTTGAAGCTGCAAATAGCTGGGCATTGGATATGGCAATCCCACAGAATGGGAGGTACATCTGCATCACCTAGTGCCAAAAGAAACGTCCCGCCATTAAATACAACTGCAGTTAGACAGTCTAAACAAAGTTAACAAAGTTAAGAAAGACAGTTAACAAAGAGACAAACTTAAGTGGCGTCTCTCAGGAAAGTCTCAAGACCACTCACTCTTCGATAGACAACTAAGTACAATCAAAATCATCACAGACAAAGCACTAAAAATTGATGGAACAAAGATCAAACTGGAAGGAAAGAAAAATGCATTTGAGTTCATAGGTCCCCCTATGGCTTGACTGGAAAACTGTGATTTTTGAGTCTAGAAATTGTCTTCTGAAGGCGATATTAAAATATGTAGACACTGCAGCTTCTCCAGTGAAAGTATTGCTCTTATATTTCCTGGTCTGCCTTTGTTCTAATACCTAAAGAAAAAAATGAGAACAGCAATCTTGAGTCACGTTCCTGCTGATTTTTAGAGGACACAGATTTTGTAGAATACCAGCTAAGTATAACACAACACATTCATCCCCAAACTCTTAGTCATAGAGCTGATTCTCTTCTCAATGGGGAAAAGGAGGTTCAAGATACGCTCAAGAAAATTCCAGAGAAGAGAGATTAAAGGCAAATTAAGTTGAAATGAATGAAAAAAAAAAATTGCAAGGTCTGTTTAGGTCTGCAAGAAAATTCATATTTATTTAGTCCTCTGAGAGGACCAAGTTGGGCCTTAATGCATGATCACACATTAAGAAAGACTACACAGGAAGGTCTGGGAAATATTTTGAGATGCAAGCTGACCATACTTTAAACTGGCTCTGAGTGACACATACTATTCTACTCAAATGCCTGAATACCTGGAGAATTGGCACATTTCACACGGATGTTGATGCACTGAAGACTAATAATATTAATGTATTTAAGCCACATGAAAATAATAAGCCTACAGCAGCAGTCAGTGCAGAGCAGTTCAAAGTGTAGGAAGTAGCTCTTATAGCTGCCGAACAGCTTTAACATTTCCCAAGCCAATGGGAGTTGGAGCACTCTGAGATCATTGGGTGGTTAGCAGAATATATGGAAGGACAGACATAAGGCTTCAATAGACCTTAATGCCTTTGGACAAAATGCTTGATGAGACAAGCACTGAAATGGTATCATCACAAAGGAAGGCATATCCATTTAATTTTTAAAACTATTATAATTTCTCTAGCACCATCACCATCTTTACATATCATATGTATGACCTCCTCCTTTTTGGTTATCAAATACATAAATGAAATTTGGAAGTGGAAGATCCTTTCCAATTAAAAAATAATAATAATGTTACAGCAGCTAACCTTCTCACCAGTCTTTGTCAACGGAGAGATCAACTGCAAGCTGTACTCTCCTGTGAGAAGTTTTGGCATTGAAAAGCTGGCATTTTGTCTTTGAAGCTTCATTTAATTAGGAAGTTATTGCCAACTCAGGGAAACAGACTATTAAGACTACTTAAGGGGAAAAAAAAAAAAGAAAATCAACAAAAAACAACCAAGAGCTGTAATCACTCAGAAGAACCAAAACTCTGCAGCAATTTCTGTTCTACTTCATCTTCCTTAAACACTCTGTAGACTATGGGTCTACTAAATTTGTGTTTGCGTAAATATGAGTTTTCTAACAGGATTTTCATATCCTCTGACTTTTGCACTTTCACAGCTGCCACTCTGTCAGAATATGTGTGGTCTTCCTACTACAGACACCTATACTGCTAGTTTGCAAACACTTCAGTCTTTTTCCACCATGGTTCCTCTAAAGAAGAGTTACACACTTCAGATCTGACACTTACCTTTGTGGAAGACAGTAATTAAACTGGTAATTAAAAAGTCAGCTATCGCAACAAGTCTGCAGGAAAGAGTACAAGAAATGAAAGAAATTCTGAAACACAATCACTGAAGGGGTCATCATCTTATAAGAGCTCCTCTGAGATAATTTTGCCTATTTCAACTTAGATTTTGCTTACAAAATGAAGCAAAAATTTATCTATATTTTCCTGTAATAGTAATAAACACCACAGCCACGTAAAAGATGACCAAGGAAGATCTACAGAACAGAAAAAAAATTTAACTGAGAAAAATCTGCCATAATTAATAAATATCATAGTGAGACTTATTAAATAAAAGTAAAAGTTAGTACTAATTGCCCACACACTGGAACTTCTTATTCAATTATAATGTGACATCATGGTGATAGAAAGCATATGAGAAGTTTTAGTAAGATGAAAATGCAATACTGCATAACACCACTTCCCAAAATTTGAATTCCAATCCCTTTACAGAAAGCAACATCCATGAAATGCTGGTACATGTAATGTCAAGAGTTTGGAAAGCTGCTGATCTATGTCATCCTTTTCACAACTCAAACTAATTGTGTAAAGTTTAGCACAACTAAAACTGACACCAAGTACCAAACTGTTAAATATAATCAGTAGAAGAAAATAAATGTTGACAACTATCAAGAAAAAATGTATTAAAAAAATAAAATCAACTGTCAGATAGAGAGGAACCACCCCGTAATAACAAGTAAATCAACGATTACTGTTTATTACTAGAGATCATGTGTCAAAACAAAAGCCTACTGTCATTCCTCTTTCCTACTTTCTGAATTGTAAATGCAACTGCTGTCTAAAGAATCGTTGGCAAATTGTAATACCATTCCAAATATAGACATTTCTAATGGTAACTGAATTTTAAATAAGGTTTTTTTTTTTTAAATCCAAAATTACAGAATATAGTACAAAACTTTTATCACATTTTGACTTTAAGCACTCAAGACTACTTTCTTATTTCTTATTTATTTTGCAATGTTTTAAGAGAAAGGAAGTCTTTACAAGCATCTCCAACCTCTTGATGTTACAGCCGTTGACAATCCAAACAAATTAAGTAATAATACTGAACTTTTCTCTGCCTGAACCACACACTGTAATGAACTGTTATTGTTATGCTAGATTCCCCATGAGCATTTTCCCTCAGAAGGGAATGCACAGAAAGAACTGAGGAAATAGAAAGAGCAGAGGAAATGGCACATAACACCCTTTCTTCCTCCCTTGAAGTTACAGGTATGCTATTAGAGACCTTTTGGTGCTCCAACACATTGCATTACAGAATAGCAATGCACTGTAATTCTATTTCCCTTCCTGCTGATTATTACTATGGCTCCTTAAATAGAAGCATTTTACTTATAATAACATAAAAGCACAGTCCACATGCTTTGGTAATGTAGTATTGATTTTTGATAATAGCAAATAAATTAGGTAGAAGTCTAAATTGTATAGAAAAGACAGATTATAGATGGACATGAATACACTGTTATGCAGCATGTCACAGCAATGGACATAGATAACACACATGGTCATTTTAATTTGCCTCTGAGAGATGATCTTGCCAAGAAGGAGCTGTTTTCTCTTTCCCTGTCTGTGATTCTTCCCGTAACACTGGGCAGGCCACACAAACTCTGCACAGGTTTCACCAAATTGTTTTATTATACAGTAAAGCCTACATAATGCTGAAACTTGTAAAGGTATTGCTGACACCCAGATTAAAGCTGGAGTGTGCTGCATGTTTCAGTTATACTAATGCAAAGAAACATGCATGGGATTTGTGGAAAAAACAGTCCATATTCACTTTCAAAAGACATTATTCAAAAGAAATTATTTCCCCTAGTCTAAAGGAGATTAAAAATCATTTTTTGGAAGGAAAATATAGCGTACCTGAAAGGAAATTTCCTTCCATATTTAACTTGAACTAATGAGAGGAGGAGAGCCCACAGATTTATTAAACAAAGCCAATTGCTAAGAAAGCAAATAGACAGAATATAAAAACATTAGGAATATAGCTTTACCAGATATATCTTGTCTATTTATTCCAGCAAATAAGATTAGCTGTAATGACTCATCACAGTACCTTGCAGCATATTAACAAACAAATCAGTAAATTTATAATACTATATTTTATTAAAATAATGTTCAATCCAAATAACAAGCTAATCTAATGAACCTACTGAGATGCTAGAAGAGACAGCTGTTTGTTCTGGTGCCAAATAGAAGGCATTCAGATAACTGCAGATTAACAACATTATATTGTGAATTACTTGGGCATAGAGGGGCCAGGTAACCTGACAATTTTTTCATACTTAACAGTGCAGCAAGCACAAAACCCTCAGCAACTACAGCTGCCTTAAGTTCACAATGACGTACAAAAGCTAAGGAGTTGTATTCATTCACAAAATGTTCAATATTTTGTCAGGGCAAGAAACCCTCTACAGAAAGAAATAGAGCAATAGGCATTAATTCAATATCTCATCCTCTTCATTTCTAAATTTTACTAGTTTGTTACGGGATATCTTATACCAGGAGTACAAAAACACAAATAGCAAGGGAACAAACAGCATAAGCACTGGAAGCTGCAATATTCTATTGTACAACCAATAACATTTTTAGCCAAGGTCCAAAGATGATGCATCTTTTCTGGAAAAATAAAATGGAGAGATCAAGTGGCTGCCCTGACCACTGTTACTTTTTCCTTTCTGCATATATTCCCATGGCTTTCAGTATCTCCACACATTTTTCAACTGCTATGCCCAAAGTTAGACCTTTAAATCAGCAAATATAGCGTACCTGAAAGGAAATTTGGAAGTACAAAGTATTACAAATTTTCACAGTATTAACATCCAGGACAAGAAGGCTGCAAATAAATGTACACTTGTTTCATTGTTTTTTTTATGGCATCAGTTCTGAAATGCAGATGAAACCTACCTGTTCTCCTTCAGAATTTCAGAATATAGTCTTTCACATGATTCCTCTGTTCACAATTTTATAGATCAAACATTCTATATCTGGCTTCACAATTGTCAGTGTTGGGACAGCTATCCTAATGCCTTGAGATGTAGCACTCATTAGCCTTTCATCTGGCTTTTCACCGGTGCCAAGATATAGACAGAATTTAAGTTAATAGATACTTAGCAATGTTTCTTTTAACTGCTAAAATAAGGATTTTCTCTGGTGATC